ACCTATGGAATCCTATTATGGAAATATGACTTTCAGAGTCTCATTGATACCCAGGCTGCAGGACCCAGGATGGGGCCATTGGAGAGCAGATGGGAAGGTAAAGCATTGTGAGGCCATCCTGGCTGATTTTTTCTAAAAGTCTTCTTGGAATGAGTTTCCTAGCACTGAGTTCTGGTAGTCAAGGCCACAGGGATAGAGGCACGGAGGAGAGCAGCCAGAGCAGCTTTGATTAGATTGGAGGTTGGAGAGGTAGGGTCAGAGGACCAAAACTTTATTTTGATATTTTCTGGATGAAAGTCTTTTTAGTAAGATTTGTAGTTTAGCTGTTTGCCATCCCATATTCGTGGGAGGACTCATATGGTAGTTGGAGTCCTGAGTGCCGCAGAGCACATTATGTATATTAGCACACTTCACATCCAGGACCTCCTGGGGCCCTCACAGAGTCCCTGCTTGATGAGCGACTGGGGCAGAAATGATTGTTCTTTTTAGACACAAAACTGGAAACTCAGAGAAATTGAGTTTGCTTAAAGTAATAGAGATTGTTAATGACAGTGACAGTGCTGGAATTTCTGGGCTTCTGGTGTTTTGTTTTCCACCCCCACGTGACCTCTGTTATGAAAGAATAATCTTCGGAATCAGGCACACAGGGGCTCAGTATCAGCTTTGCCATTTAATAGCTGGGTACTGGGGCGCCTGGGTGGCGCAGTCGGTTAAGTGTCCGACTTCAGCCAGGTCACGATCTCACGGTCCGTGAGTTCGAGCCCCGCGTCGGGCTCTGGGCTGATGGCTCAGAGCCTGGAGCCTGTTTCCGATTCTGTGTCTCCCTCTCTCTCTGCCCCTCCCCCGTTCATGCTCTGTCTCTCTCTCTGTCCCAAAAATAAATAAACGTTGAAAAAAAAAAAAAAATTTAATAGCTGGGTACTTTGGACTAGTTACGAAATTCTTCATTTCCTCATTTGTAGACATAAGGATAGCAACTGTATCACAGACTCATGAGGTACTAATGAGACCATGGGAGTGAGAGCCTCTGGTCCAGTGCCTTCCACAGTATGGATATTCAATACTGTTTTCTTTTTGTTCCATTAATACAAATCCTT